CGGTGGTGACGCGGCGGGCAGGGACCGGCTCCGGGGACCGGGCGCGCACGGCTGCGGGGCCAGGGCGCCCCGGGGACCCGGCCATGGAGGAGGACGCGGGAGCCGCCGGCGCGGCGCCCGAGCCCGAAGCCGAGCCCGCGCCGGAGGCTGAGGCGGGCGCTGGTCTGTCCGAGGCGTTCTCCCGGCTCTGGACCGACGTGATGGGCATCCTGGTGAGTTACCTGGAGAAGCGGAGGCGCGGGGAGGGCCGGTCGAGGGACCCGGGAGCAGGCAGCCCCCCGGCGCCGCGGCGCTCCCTTCGCGCTCGCAGACTCGAAAGCCCACCCCTCGGGGTCGTCCTTCTCTGGCTCTAGCTCTTAGGGGGTTAAATACACACGGTTTAGGATTTCAAACCCTAATTCAAAAGATAACCAGCCACAGATCACATCAAAGATATATTTTTTAAACAATCGGGTATGATACTCCACAGTTTAATCTGGGACACCTGCTGAGAAGTTGGTGTGGAAAAGACAGAGTCCTTCAAAGAATAGATGTAAATAAATACTGTTTGGCTGCTGTGCTTTCACAGTCGGATTTGGGAAGAGGCTGATGTTACTGATGTTTACCTCTTCACCATGTGTTGTCTGACCCGGAGAGGAAAACAATTATCTCCTTACTCAGAACCACAGAAAGTTTACTTTGTTTGCAGTTTTCCAACTTGTAGAATTACAGGATATTTGTTATGTGTTTGGGACTAAAAACAATAAGACTTATTTTTCTAAATCTGTATTGTCATGCATTTTGAAATGTCCAGTAACTAAACCCGCCCATGGATTTGGCATAATTTCTGAAAAATAGTTCTTAGGCATGGAGGATGAAGCTTTAACTTGTTCAGGGTTCAGTGCCTTGAGGAATTAGTAGATTTGCTTTGGTGGAGCTATAGGTAGGCAGGTAGACTGGAATCAGATGGGTGGGGTTCTTACAGTCAGACATCTTACTCCACACATTAAAAAGTCAATTTCAGTGGAAAGATTCGGAATTGGGAGTTGTGTAGATCATTGGAAGAGGCTCTAGATTTACTTGTTTTTTTTTCTTGTTTTTTTTTTTTTTTAAATAGGAGGAGGTGTAGTTTATAGAAAACTCTTCTTTGGTAATGATGAAACCATTTTTAGCACAGTAATTAAGCTTTTGGACTTTGGAGTGAGTTAGCCTGGATTCAAATCCCAGCCCTCCCATTGACTGACTGCATGATCTTGGCTAAGGTACCCAACTCCACTGACCTTCTATTTCATTACCTGAAAAGTGAAGCAAAGATTTGCTTCTTTGGTTTTCTGAGATTTAGCTAAGCTGATATATAGCTAGTGCTCTATACTGATACATAGTAGGTGCTTAATAAAAAATAGCTCTCTTTCTATTTTTTTTTCTTGCAAATGATCTTGTGTCTCAACTTTCCAGACATCCTAAAGTCCCAGTTATTCCGTTTTCAGGTGTCCTTTGGTATTTATGATTATTCCTGTACAGAGAGCCAGGGAAGGTTCATCAAAGATTTCTATCTGCTCGTCTCACTCTCCGATATTTTATTTTAATTAATTAATTTTTTGAAAGCAGATTTATTCAGGGAGATACCCACTCCATAGACAGAGTGTGGGCCATCTCAGAATGACTCTCCAATGTTTAAAAGATATATATTAAAAAATTTTTAAGTTAATGCTTTTTGCATTTTCTGAACATTACTGATGAATATGGGCCTTCGGTGAAATTCCAGAAAACCCGATGAACATATATAAAAGTTGTGGCGATAGATTGTTTTTTAAGTTTATCAAGCAGGAAGCTTATCTTGTTATTTCTTGCTTAGGTCTCTGTAAATTTTCAGGCACTGAGAAAATTGGCTTGATGACATCACATTGCATCCCTTACTAGGGTGTGGGCTGGGGAGGGAAGGGTTAGAGATGCTCACTTGAACTGAAGTGTGGGTTCAGGGTTGTTTGGGGGCCGGGGTGGCATGGACCACTTTCTGAAGATTTGCTTTCCCTTCCCTGGCAGATTCCAGCGCTGCTGGGTCAGTTGTAGCAGAGTGTTCTTTGGCTGAGTTAGAAGATGGGGTGGGGCTCAAGAAGCCCAAACCTATTATTCAAAAGGCAGATGCAGGAGAAAAGAAAATATGTGCTTCTTACAGAGCTAATAGTTCCGTGTGAGGCTGAAAGACGGTAAAGATTGTCCCAAACAGGTAGTGTTCACCCGTGTTTTCCCATCTTTTATAAGGTCTTATTTTGCTTTAAGTCTTGGGTATCAAGATTGTTCCTTAGTGAAAAGGCAGGCAAAGAAGACATAGATTACCTGCTGTCCTTTGTACGTGCCTGTAAGAAGTCACCAGGGGAAAAGGATCTTTATTCTGCTTTTAGAAAGCTGCCATCCAAGTGTTTATAAGAAACTATATCTTCGGAAGAAAGTATCAAGACACGAAACTGACAGCTGACTTTCTCTGTTCTTATGGAGATAAAAGACACCATTTCCTTCATTTTGTATTTAAAATATGGCATTTTGCAATCATCTGTCAGCCTAGACAGGTTGAAGTGACTTGATCTTTGGCACATATACATTGTTAGTGGAAATGTCAGACTGCACCCCAGTTCTCTGACCTCCACCAGTCAGGAGCCTGATGCCGTGATGCTCCATAGTTAACTATCCCAGATCAACTTGGTAGTAATGTAATGACATCCAGTCATTTTAGGCAAGCGCTGTTTGGAAGATTGGGAGAGTAGAGGTAGCAGGGGAATTATACATCCAGACATAATACTTAGCAGATTTCAGGCACAGTTGCTACTTTATTTTTTAGATTCTTCTTAGAGTAAAGATGTAAACTTCAAAGCTTATTAGGTTAAAACTTTTTTTAAATGAATGAGCACAGCTCCTCTTTCCTGAAGATGCAGTACAGCGAGAAGCCCTCGGCATCCCTACCCCCTTGGATTTTGTTGGGTCTAACCCGGGGATGGGGGAGAGTGTTGCCCCAGAGGCATTGATCTCGGTAAATACAGGATGGCTGTCTGAGTTCATTGGGACACATTTTACATTTAAATTAATTCAGTCCTGCGCAGTTCAGCACCAATCAGTTGCTTTTATATAATTGCTAACAAAACGCTTATTTAGAGAAGTGATAGTGTAATTTATGGCATGAAAATGTTTGAGTGTGTTGGAGTGAATAAAATGCTGACAAGTGAATATGTAAATAGAGAGTTAAGAGAAAATGAGTTTACAAAACCACTGTGGATGTGAGCGCCTGGAGGGCATGGTCTGTATTTCACTTTCTTCTACCTGCAGGGCTTGGGCCTTACTGGGTGCTGAGAATATGCTTTTATTGAGTGAAAAAGGAAAGAAGTATGTACTCTTAAATGCAGGAGCCGCCACTCCAAAATACAGTTCTGTAGAGACTCACGCCCTGGCTATAATGGGGTGCATTTATGAAGACTTTAATAAATTCTGCTTAGGCCAAAGCTACCACTTGGACAGTTGCGTCATGCATACTTAAATCCTGGCACTTCCACTGAAAATGTAATGGCAAATTGCGAAATGTTTGTAGACCCTGAGTAATTAAACCGTGGCCTTCTTGCGAAACACCCTATTCTGTTCTCTGACTCGGCAACGTGTGGTCTGCCTGGGTTTTCAAAGCCTGTCACCTTTCACGATGACATGCTTAGACTTCTGTTGAGAAGTGCAGTATGGGATTCTGCTCTTTTATCTTTACTCCCTGGTTGCAGACAAAGCATTCCTTTTTCTTTTTTGAGGTGGGGGAGAGTAGTTTTTTTAAGAGTAGGAATTGCTGAGGTTATCAGATGAGGTAGATCATGTTTTCAGCGCCAAGTATCCATTTGGTAACTTGTGATGGTTCAGAAATTTTTCCTCCAGAATTCGAGGACTTCTTAAAAGGCCTTTAAAGCTACTTGTTCTCACTTGGAAAGGGAGAGGAAGGGAGTTAGTAAGTGACTATTGTTTGCAGGATCCTGCAAGATGCACCTCCCCCAAACCTTACATTTCCCTGCTATGTTCCTACAATTTACACCCATTTCCTAGCAATGCTTGGAAAATATCCATTGTGTAGACAAACTCTACTGGAGGACCTTCCCCTACTCTTAATTCCTATTCAAGCTACAGAAAAGAATGTAGTAGCTTTATCTGTTAAGTTTATCTTTAGGTTAAGTTATCAGCTAGGTTCATTCTGTTCAAGTTTATCGGCTAGGTTCATTCTGTCTTGCTGTTTACTCTTAAAAGACCCTCCTTTTGCTCTGTATTTTTGGGCAAAGTGTAGGGGAGGGGAGGCGTCAGTGAGATCCCTAGAGGGCTTTTAAAATGCAAACTCCTTTGTACAGACCAGTGTGTAATTTACATATTCTCTGGGCGGTGTCTTACGGTTAAGCCCTTCAGCTAATGACTTAATTTTTTAGGTCTTGGAATCTGAGAGCCAGCCCCAGTTTCCAATATTCTGACTTCGTCTTGATGTTTTGTCCCTGGTAGCCGGCTGAAAGCCTATGGCTTTTATATAAGTAGAGAGATTGCAGGGTGATGTAGCGGAAGACACTGACTGAAGAGACCTTGGAAGTGAGTCCTCAACTCCCTCATTTAAAGAGGAGGGATGGAAGGGCTTGAGGCAGCAGTGTAGGGACCAGAACTTAGACCTACCGATTTTCATTTCTTTGCCAAAGTTAAGTCTTACAGTTCTGGCTGGGGTCCTTAATTTGCTGTCAAAAGAGGCTCTGGGACTTCCCTGGCTGTCCAGTGGTTAAGATGTCGTGCTCACAAGGCAGGGGGCACGGGTCGTGGGGGAAGTAAGATACCGCATGCCCTAAGGTGCAGCCAAAAAAAAAAAAAAAAAGCTAAAAAGAGGCCTTTGCATTAAAGCAACTGTTCATGCTCTCCGTCTTCCCACATCCTGCTTTCATTTGCTGCTCTCTACCTTGTAACCCTTCCCTCTTCCACCTGGCTCGTTCTGCATCCTTGTTCACCACCGTTGACTCTCAACTTCCAATGATAGAATGCAGCAACGTGGGGAGGGGAAGGCAGTGCTCACAAGGGCTGAGTCGTGGTGCTGTGCGGGGCCCTTCCCAAACTTACCTTAATTGGTCCTCTCACTGTGACCAGTGAGCATTATTGTCCCCATTTTACAGTGGAGAGGTAAACGTGCATGTCCTGAATCACCCAGACAGTAAACAGGAGCTGGGATTTGGATCATGTGTTATTT